TTTCGTTTGTCAGCTCTGATGCTCTTCTTCACTTCTCTGTGTATGCACCTTGTGCGGTAACTTTCTTTGCTCTTGTTCGGCTGACATTGATTGCTGCCTTCTTGTTCCTCCTTTCTTCAATTTTTGCAAGACTATCAACAGAGATCCATTCCTTGTGATGGTACTTCTTGTGACCAAGATCTTCGTGACATGTTGAAGTGATTGCCTCCTTAATCCCTTTCCAATTGTTCTCCAATGTTGCGTCCTCTCCATTGTGTAGATCCTGAAAGGCCTGGAACCTATTGGTGAGGGCTATCTTGAATTCGTTGAGTTTTACGGTATCCCGAAGAAAGCCTGTATTAAACTTCTGTGATGTTGTCTGCCCCGTTGTCCAGTACTTCGTTAGCTTCAATCTCATTTTGGCGATCAGCAAATGGTGATCTGATGCTATATCAGCTCCTCTCTTGGTTCTCACATCCTCCATGGTCCTTCTGAACTTTTTGTTGATACAGATATGGTCAATTTGGTTTTGAGTAGTGTGGTCCGGTGAAATCCATGTGGCTTTGTGAATGCGTTTGTGCGGGAATATTGTGCCACCGATGACCAGTTTGTTGAAGGCACATAGGTTTGCAAATCTCTCACCGTTTTCGTTTCTTTCTCCCAGTCCATGTCGTCCCATGATGTCTTCATATCCAGTGTTGTCCATTCCAACCTTGGCATTGAGGTCTCCCATAAGAATCGTCAAATCCTTTGGTGAACATTTCTCGACGATTGACTGCAGCCTTTCGTAGAATTGATCTTTAACGTCGTCATTGTAGTCATTGGTAGGTGCATAACATTGGATGACGTTCATTGTAATGTCCTCTTTCTTTGTTTTGAAGGATGCTTTAATGATCCTGGGTCCATGAGATTCCCATCCTATCAGTGCCTTTTGTGCATGTTTGGACAGCATCAGTGCAACTCCTTGTGCATGCGAAGCATTTTCCTCTTCATGACCAGAGCATAACAGCAGTTCCCCTGAAGCTAGTCTCAGTTGTCCTACCTGTGTCCAATGTGTTTCACTTATTCCAAGCACCTCGAGGTTGTATCTTTTCATTTCTGCCGCAACTTGAAATAGTCTTCCAGTCTCCCACAATGTACGAACGTTCCATTTGCCTGGTTGCTCTGGTTGTCAGAAGAGGCTACGGCCGCGTAACTTCCGAGGGAACTCGGCTTTCATCACGCGACCTCATAATTCTTCTTTCAACTCCCGGGGCAGAGTTAAAATGGTTTGAATTATTTTTTCTGGTTAGCGTTTTTTTGGCAAGTTAGTTTTTGACGGAATGGGGTCGCCAACCCCATGTCCAACCTTCCTTCTTTATCCGGGCTTGGGACCGGCAGTAGCCCCTAAGGTTCTACTGACGGAGTTTGTTCACTTGTTGGTGGGCAAAAATCGATCGGGCGATCCATGAATTCTGCTTCGATGTTTGGTGGGTTCATTGGAGCTGGTCGATTCAACAGTCCATTGAAATGCTCTACACACCTATTTCTCTGTTCTTCTGTGTTGTTGAATACTTTGCTTTCTTTTCTTTTCACTGGTCGTTCTGGTTTACGACAATTCACTGCAAGCTTATAAAAATAAAACTATTGTTATTCGCGAGATTTTGCCAGGCTAACGAATAAAGATATCAGCTGTCTCTAGTGGTAAAATCGTGTAAACTGGTGACTTGAAATTTTCCTGATAGTACCCAAACTATGCTTACGGACACAAATTACTTTCATTGAAACTCTTAGTCTATTTGTGAACGATAAATAATTGAATTATATTTTTGTGTCTTTATTTTTTTGCACTTTACGACATTTTCTCTGCTGTATACGCTTCCAAGACAATAATGTTCTTTCTAGGTGCATTCAAGATATCAGATATCGAATGCTAATGTTCACTGTTTCAATTAAAAAACAGATGCGAGTTACTTATATTTAAAAATTCTTCCTGTTTGCTGGATGATTACGGAAGACTATGGAGCCAACTATGGTTCATAATACTGTTCGGTAAAAGGCCGTTTTTTACTTAACCGCTTCGTAGTATTTTTGCTATTAGATACTCAGACTGTATAAACGACTGAGGAGCTTCAGGGCTGATACAGCACGAAGCGCTACCTCAATAGTCACATTTCATCAGTGAGACGACAGCAAGGATGTCAGATAAAGCACACAGTTTTGTTGTTTAAACTCGATCGGCAACCCGTGGATTGAAAAGTAAACTGAAAGATATCAGGAATGTATGCACTCTGATGTATCTGGAGGTCATAATCCTAACTGGAATATGAAATTAATGACACTTCCGATATGAAAGGGAATAGATAACGTGAAGTGAATTGGAAAAATATATTTAATAGCTATTTCAAGGCCGTGGCACTACAAGGTACACAATTCAATGACGTCACCGACGTATGCTGTAACACGAAGGGGCCAAAATACTTGTCGGAGAGACTTACTCGCCCCTTTCCATTACTAGGCTCAGAAGCATCCACTGAGAGAGGGAATACTGCAATGACCACTCCTTAGGTTTAACCATAAACTATTAGCTGGACATTTTAATAATCGGTCTCTAAATCTCAGCAAATGGCATAAAACTCCCTCAGGTTGGTTCCAAAGGCGAATTTTCATAGCCCTTAGAAGTTCTAGACCGATCAAGCACGTGTTTAACGCCACTAGATGGAGTATAGATGAAAAACCCTCAAATTAGGACTATTTGTTTACAAACGATCAGCGACTAGTTAAGGATATTAATGTCCATATACCGATGGGGGGTAGTGACCGTGGCGAAGTTGTGTTTAACAAACCCACAAACGAAGGACGAAAAAGCGTACCTACTTTACTACACCACCTCAACCTACAGGATTATGAATGATCATCTTTTACACGCTCAATGACAACGGGGATGGTGGATGCCTTAATTAGATGTTTACCTTCAAATAGTGAGAGACATTATTCAGAATTCCATCCTACATAACATAGCTCTGGCAGGTTACACACTTGGAAATATAAAAAATTGAGCCGAATGATGCACCGAACGCTTTGTAAAAAGGAAGCCTGATACAAATAGAAAGTCTCTCTGAAGAATGCTAATCATAAGTTCTAATAAGGATTGAAAAACACATGAAGTGATGAATTCGGAAATTGTGCGAGACATTTCCAGACGAAGCTAGCAGCCAAAAAAACAGGCAAACCCAAAATATCTAGTTAGGCTCATGACTAAAAGAAAACTTACACCCCAGAATGTTTGTGCTCTCAAAGGTTCAGTTGGCAATGATCCTATCAACTAAGAGTCGGCTGACATCTTTAATTTCAACTTCACCGACCAGTTAAACCAGGTACGGACAAATTCAGAGTATTAATCAGAACTAATGCCAGCTGATGGTTTAGGGAATATCCGACTTACTCCTGGTTTAGTACGGAGAGGACCAGAATCCCAGAGTCTAGAAAAGCCATTAGGATGAAACAAAACTCGAACTACAGTCTTGAAACATTGTGCAGAAGCCCTCAGTTCACCAGCGTATGACATGTTGAGGCATCCACTTGAGCCACCCCAACTCCTAACCGAATAAAAACAAGCTACTGTTTCACCAGTCTTCGAAGGATGGGATAGGAAAGATGAAGCATACTTCCGACGTATTTCATTACTATCAGTATTGTCAAAGGTAATTTTAGGACTAGTGAATGATCAAATTGAGTGGTAGATGGACATGGACGAAATCCTCCATAAAGCTCTGGTACAACCAATCTTCTCATAGCATGGGACTGTTGGACAACCGATTAAGACCAAAAACATACATTTTCATATAACCTTGACTGAACAAAAGCTTTCCAAACAGAAGCTCGGGTACTAATAATTGCAAAGGTTGAGATGATGGGCTTGGCTGATCCACTTCTATCTTCGCTCAGAAACTTCCTTGAGGACAGAAAATTTCGTTTTAATGGCATACTCACTGACAGGTTTCAATATCTGGAGTTTCACATAGGACCATCTTGGTTTCACTCTTATTCTGAGCTCAGCGGCGCTGCTTTATGCAGACAACGTAGAGACTTGGAGGTCGTCAAGAAGCTAAAGGGACTTAATTGATTTTCTGAAGGACCTGACATCAACTAAGGAATAAGCTATGGAAAACGGGTTGAAACTAATTCGGTTGAAGTGTCATCGTGACAAAAACGGTCCATATATTCAATGGAAGTCCGTTCCTTAATGTCTCCTTAGAACGCAATGTCGGTTTCTTAATGAAAGTTAGTTTGAACACCACTTCAAAATACATAGAGGATGCAACCAAAATGAATATAACCCTTCATTTTAGGTGAAGACAAATTTGTGCAATCACCCCACAATTGTTCTTAACTCCCTTTGAAACATTCACAAGGCCACACTCTGAAGTTCCCAATATCATTGCACTTTTATCCTTAAAAATACACGAACCTCCTGCATTGAATGCAGAGAGGAGCAACTATATGGGTAAGAGGGTTAAAGAATAAACCTTACAAACAATGACTTGATATACACGTACACACACAGATTATCATCTCCCAGTTCAGTCAGCTGTGCTCGATTGATCTCACCCTAACGTATCTCTTTTTCTTCTCCCTTGCTTACACTACGGTCTTCTCGCACACTCTTCACTACCAATTAATAAAACTTGATTATCTATTTATTTAATTAGTTTTGAAATTTCTCAATGGCATAAGAATTTTCTCCTTATTATTCTCCTTATTGCGACTGATCTACAGCCTAGTAATGCGATAGCTGGTGGTTTCATGAAACCTTACTGCCCTGAGACAAACGTACCGAACTCACGGGAAATACGAAAACTCACAAAAAAGACTTGCAATAGTGCACTCGAATGGCTAAACTTATCATTAATAGACATTAACAAATACTTACAACTGTACCAAAAGAACAAGAATCAAGCGTAAAGAAATTAGTTATTTTTAGGCAGTTGGAGAAAAGATACTAGATATTGGATATTGGATACAAGTAACTACTCTATTTGGTTGCATAAAGGTCATGTGTTAACCTAAGTTGCATTTTCAAAATGTCAAACTTCGGATTATACGTTATTGTGTGACTTTATAACAATTTGCATTAGTTCCCATGGCTCATTTACCGATAAGTAACGCGAATGGGGGAGGTTTCTAGAACAGTGGTGCGTAATCGACTGTTAGCCGCTAGAACGTGTTCTGTATACAAATTATCGATGTTCTGTAATTTTATTTATTTACTAGCAACAAGATCCTGACTATCAGATAATAACAAATAACATACCTTTTAGGCTGTTAGAATGCATTACAAACTATGGCCTTTCAATCCTGATATCAAGCCGTTTCAGCAATTATCAAAATAATACTTTTTTGCAGCAAAAAACAAAATGCACTTGATCAGGTTGAGTGCATAAACTGTATATAATATGCCTTTTACTGAAAGAAATGGTGTACTTATGAATCACAGTACTTCAAATAACGATCACTTTTCATCGACAACAGAGTCTTTCTCAAGATATAATAAAGAGGATTATTCATCAAGCCTAGAAATGTTTATCACTTTACACTACGACTCTCGTAGTATGAGTAACAGTCTTCCTATAACCCACAGAAATCCTGCCTCAGTAGAAACCATTACCGATTCTACTGACCAGCAACCAAAGGAAAACAAAAAGAATATGTATAATCTGGTGGCAGAATCGAGCCGATTTATCGTCGAAGGAAGGGAAATTGATGATAATTATCTATCTGCAGCCCACAGATATACTGTGAATTTTTCCAAATTATACTCTAGTGAGGCAGGAGCAGAAAATGTAGAATATTATGACTTTGAATACAAGGATTCTGGTGCGTGTTTTTACAGAAACTCAATTTTTAGTTGTGGTAAGTCTAAAACATTATTATCAACTGAAGGTTTATACTCTACATTTCTCTTGAGACATCAAGTTGAATGCTATTATAGTCTGCCTCTTAGTTTAAATTTGGGAATTCGAAACACGTAAAGTAATGGCTCCTTTATTTTAACTTAATTAGAAGCAATTAATCTTTAAGCATCCTAACAAACCTAGTTCATCGGCATTGGATTTTTATTGCCGGATTTGGTTCAGTGAATATTAATTGGTTCTCAGAATACTGGCATAAAGTCCTACCTTTCTAACTGTTCTATAACTCTATAATGAATTAGCATAGATAATTTTGACAAACCGTTTTCTGAATACCCGCCTAAGTCACAAACTCAGCTGTCTAATAGTAATATGTTGGTTATTTTGGCGATAGTTCATTTATATAATGTAGCACCACTCGGATTGTACATTATCCCATGATAATAAAACGTAAAATAGTGAAAATATGCCGAGAAACAATTAACATGTGAGTTTCACACAGTATAGATGCTGAAAATGCGAATTTCTAAGTAGCCCACTTCGAGATTAGCATATTTTTGAAATATTTGACCATAAATATGTAAAAGTGACTTTGTACGTATTGCTTCTTCGATTACAATGAAGGAAACAGAATGAAGACCCGTGTAGAATAAAATAATATCATTTACTTCTTTAAGTCGGACTTTATTCTATGAATGTTTAAAGCCAGCATTAACACATAATTAATGTATCTGTACCAAGAAAGCTGATTAGCGGTATATTTATTTTATTATGGTGAAATGAAAATTCAAATGAGGTTATTTAGGACAGAAAACTTTTTTGTGTATTATAAGTACTGGGCAAGAAGATATCACTTTATCTTTCTTAAATCGTTTTCCTTGCTCCATCCATGAAAAGTTTCAGTTCAAATATTCTTGCCAACGTAACTATAATAATGTAGCGTGCTCATGCTGTCTTAATGTAAGCTAAATCTGTGCTACATAAAACCTTCAAAAATATCCGTTTAATAATTGACATGGAACAAGAAAAAATGTATTTCTCGATTTCCTTAAGAACTAAAAATTTTAAAGGACATCTTCTTTAAGCACCAGCCTAAATCAAATACCTCAATATCTTTGTCGCTAATTAATGCGTTTCCTTATAAACGGGGAAAAGATAACTTTCTGTTAAATACGAAAATTTATGTCTAGAAATTTTAAAAATAGTGCATCTTTTCAATGTCAAGTAGACCAGTTGCTTTATAAACCAATGTGAAGGAATCAAACGCATCGACTTTTGAGGTTCTTAAGACTTATATCGGGTGATCTTTAGGGACCGTTTATCATATTATTATCATTCTGAAAGTGTTTTTGTTGAGGTTTGTATTTCTGTTTACAGTTGGAACAAAACAAACATTTGGCATTCCTATGCGAAATATATTTGTTTCAGAAACGATTTATAGATAATTACGATACTTTTTCTATGTTGGAAAAACATCAGAAATACGCACTAATAAATGTCTTTTAAGGAAAGACCGAATGGGTCACGCATGACAAATACCAAAATTAGCTAGACATGACTCAGAGAAAATGAACGAACGACTAATAATTAGTAATTAGCTACTAGATTGATAAAGAAACTCAATCTTAGGCTCACTCTAGTTGCGTTTACTGCATATTTATACCTTAGAGAATGAATTTTCAAATTTGTTTTCGCCTCTAACTAATTTGTTCTTAAATCATTGCTAAAAATTTGAGTGTCTTATGGTTGAAATTGTGAGTCTTGCACCAAAAGACACTGATTTAAGTTTCAAAAATTCTTTTGACTTTCCAGGATATATTTCATTGACATGTTTCAAGTAGAAAATGCACATTTTAGAGGTAGCGAGCAGACGATCTTAATGGTTCCCAAAAATGTTCATAAAGATATATGAAAACATCGGCAAATCTGATAAATATTGATTACTTTTCATCTTATTTTTAACTTTTGGTGGGTATAAACGTACACAGTTTAACGAAACATGGACTGCTGATGAGTCTCATACCAGGAAAAGACGGCCGTCCTGTGCCTGCAGTTTTCTAATGGTGGTCTAACAATGATTGACTGATGATTTCAAAGTTTGAAAACACTAATCTTCATAACTTCAATTGAAAACATCCCAAAATGTTCATTAGTGACTAGCTTCTTGAGGAAATTCTCGGAGTTCTAGTAAGAAGACGTGACTAGCGGATCTCACCCTGGTCGAGTGTAGGCAATAACTACCAGAGACAAATGATCGAGGTAGCGCAAAATCTCTAGATTGATCAGAGTTAGACAATAACACCATTGGACACGAGCCCAGTGGTCTAGAGGATAGGTCGGAGGTTCGAATAATGTGAGTAGCAGGAGTCGTGTATGCGCACTGCTGATGAGTCCCATACCAGAACGAGACGGCTGTTTAGTACTCCCAGATTTCTAATGGTGGTCTAACAATGACTGATTGATGATTTCAATGCGTAGAAACAGATACTGTTTACGCTTATATTCAGTATATCTTTTCATCCATGTTTTAAAAATTATATTTCTTTGTAGGTGATCAACATCAAAATTGGTTTGGTATCATGCCTAATGATGGAGCAGTAGCCATAAGTCTAGCAAAAACATCGATATATTTCAAATCACATTGCAGTATATCAATACCAGAAAATAAACAATTACATCAGAATGGCGCAGATATTATTACTTGTAAAGAAAGTAATTCTGATAAGAATTTATTAACATTAGAAAAGAAAACAGAAAATAAAATTCATGGAACAAACTTGAACTATTTACCAGCATGGTTGGTAATAGTTCGACGTGAACAAGTAAGCCATAAAAGTTTATCATTGATGTAATTCTTTAATTGCAAGTAAAATATGGTATAAAAAAAGATACAATCAATATATTGTACTGACCTTTGCAGATTGTAATACTCAAATCTATCGTCTTGTTTTAAAATTAATCTTATAGGTCAATCATACTTATAGAAGGTCTGTCACATAAAAATATTGATTGCACATTTTGGCACTGAATAGTAATGGTAATAGTAATAGTAGTGGTAGTAGTGGTAGTAGTAGTAGTAGTGTGGTGTGAGCTACTTATAAGTAGTATATGACGTGAGTGTCAACGTAATCTCTGGCAGCAGAAGATGGGGGAAGATCAAGAAAGGAAGAGTTAGAACACAATGGAATTTGTATGAAACGCATGAATAGTGATAATGTATTGATGTTTTGTAACAGGAACAGTCCAGTTTGATATGATGAACTGATATTTTGCAAATGAACGATTTACGATATGGTTTTCCGATTTTACTGAGTAACTCTGTAATTTCGTTAAGTACAATCCGGTTGGCCCACCTGTGTTCTCGTTCACTGCAGCAGTAGTAGTAGTAGTATACTGATGATGCACATTTTATTTCACTAGAAAGATGAAGTTTAAATAAAAATTTTTTCAAAACACATCAAAACACAGGAGAATGTTATTCAATACTGGATAAATGACTCAAAGTTCTATGTAAATAGCGTTAGTTTTATAGCATTCATACTTCGACATACCAGTGATCAATTCAGTGTATATATATATTTCAACACTGATAAAAAAAAAAGTGTTGGGGACGTTATATCTACAGAACTCACTTGATAACGGTCCTACTTTTGGATTTTATGCTTTCGCACATGGGTTGATCAGTTGACCTTGAGATTACATTTCTCCCTCGGAAAATCCTTGACTGTTATTGGTTGATGTGTTATTTTAGTGCACTATTTTTGTGGCTCGCACAAGGACGTTTCTATTATGTATAAATAAACTTGATTTGTGTGCTTGTGAACCTCATATTTTCTGCATGCTTGTAGAATACACTTTCTACGCGTTTTCAAGACTTCTTCCTTTACTTAGTGGATTAGAGTAGCCTATCATGTCACTGGATCATTTATCTTCACTCTCATCTACCGAATAAGGTGAACTCGTCATAGCATTCAAGCATATCAATTGACCAGCATATCAAAGAGTTAAACTGAAATTTTTTAAACCTATTAAAATAATTATTTTTTATTTTTACTGGTAGCTTGAATCAAGCCATTACTATTTAGAATTGATTGATGACGAAACCGCTGTCCAGTGCTTCCAGGTTTCTAATGATGGTCTAACATTGATCGATTCATGGTTACAAATAAAACTTAACAATCTTCACAACAACCCCGCAATGTGTCCACTAGTGACTAGCTTGGTGAGGAATCTTCTCCGAGTTGTAGTGGGAAGTCGTGACCAGTGAAGTTCAAACTTGTCCGGATGTATACAGGGTATGAGTTTGCGCAACTCCGTGAATTTGATAAAGTTAGACATTAACACTGTTGGGTACCGGCTCAGTGATCTAACGGTTAGGGCGTTCGCTCACAATACCAAAGATCCTGGGTTCGATTCCTGCGGGGTGCAGGAGTCGTGCATTCTATACTCATCAAAATCCTCTTCTCTTATTTACTCTAATACTTTTCTAAAAAAAAAGAAACTAGACATGTAGATGAATCAGTTCTTTACTCAAAATGTTTTTAAAAAAATTTCACAAATTTATTTAATTTAGAGTATAAATATTTTTAATCATTGCACCTTGAAAGTCAATTGACATTTTTAAATGAAATCATGCTGATTAAAATTTTTTTTATCAATAAATTTTAAACAATCAAGAATAAAAAAATGCTCAGCGTAATTCTTAATAATAATAATAATAGTAATAATAATAATTAAAAAACGACTTATTTATGCTTTTATTCTAATGGTTTAATGGCATTGCACAAATAAAATGTGTAATTCATAATTATTGATTATTTTTGAAAATAAAAACAACAACAAAAAGAAAGTGTTTTTAGCCAATAATGAATGACTCAGTGATACACACACACACACACACACACACATACACACACATACACACACATACACACACATACACTTCAATACACTTACTGTTTATTTGTCATTTCTTATTTATGGCTGCATCTGTATAGAGTTGTAGTAGTAGTAGTAGTAGTAGTAGTGGTAGTTCACGCTTACAGAAACATGTGAGACTAATATCTATGTTAAATGCTTTTAATAAATTGATTGAAAGAGCGAGCACAAACACAACACATTCGATTAGTTCAGCTTCACTTTGTAATGATAATTGTAAACTACTTGGAGAGAGAATGACAGACTGACAATGATGCTTGCTTGCTTACTTGCTTGATTGATTGATTGATTGAGTCCAGTACTGAACAACCATCATAGTTTTTGTTAGAAATATGATGAAAAAAGAACAAATATATATATATATATATATATATATATATATATATATATATATAATGTTGACGTCAAATGAATCTCTGGAAACTCTGAAAAAGATGCTTGAGTAAATTACAAAACAGAAAAACAAAAAACAGTTGCCAAACAATAATGTCTACCGTAGACTACAAATTTTTTGTTTCAGTCAGAAATTGTTTAATAGTTAGTGTCATTAGTTTGAATCAATGTAGAGAATGTTTTAAAAAACCTGAGAGTGCTAAAAAGTCTCATTTGACTATCCTGAGACCAGTCGCATTAATCTATACTTTCAGACTCATATGAATTGAATATAACGCCCTCAGGTTTTACAGTAACTACAATCCTGTTTAATTTACGTAGACAAAAGTGCAAGCTCACACATTCTGAAGTTCAGTCAACTGCGCGATAATGGGTTATCTGTCTCTCTCCTTCAACACTGTTGAACTATATTGATCATATCTAAATTTTGAACTTCAGTAATGGAATTCCAAGCTAGTTAGCAATATGTAAAGAGTATTTTTTTTGGAAAGAAGGCAGATTTATGTGAATCAATCATTCTTAATTAAAAATTTTAATCGTCAGCTTAAGTTAATCACGGAAAGAATGATAACTGAACAATAACAAGATCAAATTCTCACAACCTTCTTTAAGCTGCTGTTAAACAATACTAGCTCATCAATTAATCATTGTTAGACCATCACAATTAGAAACCTTGAAGCACTGCAGAAGACGGTCGTTTCGTCCTGGTATGGGACTGACTCATCATCAGCAGTGCGCATCCATGACTCTTGCATCTTGCAGGATTCGAATCTACTGACGCCTAACCTCTGAACTACACTGGGCCCGGCATCCAACAGTGTTAATGTCTAACTTTGATTGATCTAAGGATTTTTTGCGCAATGATTTCAAATGTGTGTGAAAAACACTAATCTCCATAACTCGAATTGACAAATACTGGCTCAGTTATATGAAACATCATCATCTTTTTTCTTTCACAGATAATCAGTTTTGTCCTTGATAATATCGAAAGATATAAGTCATATTCTAATGATACTAATATGAATATGATTACGGCTTTCAGATGTTCAGCATCAGTGTCTGAAATGGTCAGAGTTATTGAAATATAGTCCATTGAATATCTTGCGCTAAATATTATGTCATACGTTCAATTTTTTTGATTTTATTCGTTACAACCTGATTATAATACACGTCATAATGTAACGAAATACAAGAAAATGACCTATTTTTATTGTGACTCTGTATATGTCTGGTTGAACCAAATCCAAATAAGATAGTTTATAACTCATTTCTACAATAATCTCTATTGATGTGATCAAGTATAGAAGCATTAAAACTGGTCGAGTATGTGCTTTTAGTTCAATTACGAATGAACATGGAGTTTGATTGACATAAATACACATTCACTTAAATTGTCACATCTCATTAACACTCTGCACACAGTGAAATAAACAGAATATAAAAACACCGATAAAACGAGATATTGGAGCAAGAATGACAATGAACGAAACTGAACACTGTTAAATATGATTTAAGGAAATAAAGTGAAAGTCATATAAGAACGAATACTGAAAGAGAATATCTAAAGTTATATTTTGTGACCAGTTGCCAGATATATCACTACTACTACAATTTCGTTACCTGTATAGCTTAGAATAATACTGATTAACTTCATAGTTAATCGCCATGTTTCAGTTTGTCAAAAAAACCAATCTTTCATCGAAACTATTCTTATTATATTTACTTATATCACTCATCCAGATAGATTATGTGATTGGGTATGTTTATATGTAAACCGTCATAGATTATGAATGAATTTTTTCCCAAAATAAAAAGTAAATGAAATGAGGAGTCCCATACCAGGACGAAACCGCCGTGTTACAGTGCTTCCAGGTTTCTAATGGTGGGCTAACATTGATCGATTTATGGTTTCAACAATGAAATTGAGTTGAGCTCAATTTTTCACTGATCCTAATCTAAAATGAAACGTTTTTTCTATTTTCCTTTTCAATAATTATCTTATAGGGTTCAGATTTACGTGGTTGTGTTATCAATAAAAATTTAATTAAACACAATAAATCAATCGCTTCATTATTCATACATGAACCTACTGTAAATAGCTCTTCAACCTTAAATGAAAGTAACAACAACAATTTACCTAGTACTACTACTAGTAGTAGTAATAATAATAATAATAATAGTACAGTGACACATCCTACAAATGATCATTTATCAATGATTGAAATATTGAACAAAACAAATCTCCCTTACACAAAATCAACATCATCATCATTATCATCTACACTGAATACAACGACACCGATTACACCAAGTACAACACCGCCACCACAACCACAGACAACGACACCAACAACCAACACATCGAATCATTCCCAATCGATTATAACAAAAGCAAGAAAATTAAGTAAAAAGAATTCAATAAAATCAACTGATACTTTATTGTTAAATCATTCCACCAATGAACAACAAATGATATTACAATATTTAGTGAAAAATGAACATGTTATGGATTATTTAAAACCTGGTCAACCAGATCGGATAGTTTATGAAAAATTATTAAAATTAGATGAAATGGAGGTGAGTGTGAATTGCGCTTTTTAAATTTTTATTTACTTACAAACAATTCATAAGTGTGTGTGTGTGTGTGTTTATGTGCATTGATGTTACAATGTTCAATGTTGATGGATATGTTTTAAAAATGTAGACTGGAAACGTTGGGCAGAAATGCATGAAGTCATTGACAAGCGGACTGAGTCATGTTCGCTAGTTGTAGGCTACCTACCACTTGGTTGGGGCTCGGCAAGATGATAGTAATCGAAGGTTAGAGAGCATGAATGACATGGATCGAAATTGTTTACAATAGCGTAGGTGCATACATTCTTTGTGTTCTGTCAAGTCCTAATCTTCTGAATTCCTAATTACCTTTATCTTTCTCTTTTTAAATTTATCTCACTGAATTATACTTCTTGGATATTATCTTCGAACTCTAATTTCTCCGATGACTGCTCATACTTCTGCTACTTCTACTACTAAGGGGTTTTGAATTGACAATTACATTTCTCAATAGTATGTCAAAGGTGGATGAATAGACTTCAAATAATCATTAAGAACATCAAAACCATTACGTAATAAGCAAATACGTAAAAATAAGAATAAAAAAAAAATATATAATGTCAATCATTGTAATCAATTTGAATAATTTGGAATTGATATCATGTTTAAAAGTGTACTTCAATGAAGCTATAGCTTGTGTGAAGCGAATATGTTTTTGTTTGAGGAGAAAATGATATACGTCAATGCTACCCTAGGAAACTGTATGAGCTTTAGACATACAAAGGTTATTGAAAAACTTTTTAAAACTATTTGAACTAAATTACGCGACAAGATTTCCGAAAAAAATCTTTGCACTAAAATATCCCTTTAGTTTCATGATTGCTTGTTACGTATCAACAAACTTTCATTTTCTCAAATGAATCATATTAATTACTATTCGTAGTGTACGAATATTTGAATATAAAGTAAGGTGAGTTAAAACTTTCAGATAAAAAATCAATACAGACTTAATAAAAGTTGCCCTTTGAGCAATTCCAGTTCACAAAGAGCCAAACACTTAACTCTTCTCTCATACATTCATCTTTACATATATAAGGAATTCTTAATATACAAATGTGACAAGAATCAACTTTACTGACAATATATTTTAAGAATAAAGTGAGGCCTTCGTTGTCGAAAAATATTAAAACATTTTAAAAGAATCTAAATCAAATGACAAGAGATTCATGCTTTAACAAAAACAAATTAATATATGAATAATCCATGATCAATCAGTCAACCAATAGCAACCAATCAGGAAAGTCATAGGTGACACAGGATCAAGAAACAGATCAAAAGGCGGTTGCAATCAAAACAAAGGTGTAAACAACGACAGGTTAAAGGTCAACAGCAACCAATCAAGATCGAGGTTAGCAGAACAAGCTACAGGTCAAACGTGGAGAAATTCGAATACTTCACTTCTGCTATCTGAAGTTTGTGCTGCTGATGATGTTGTTCAGCAGGAGAACAATGAAAGCTCCACAACCAAAACACCCATCTCAGAGAACCAAACACCACCACAATTATCCACCTGATCTACAAATCTTCTCCACCATCCCATAGTGAAGTTCGTACGTACGTACATCACTTCATGTTGCCATACCACATTAGCACAGAGATGTAATTGTCAGTTCAGATTCAATAGTAGTAAAGGTAGTAAAAGTATGAGCAGTAGTCGTAGAGGTTAGGATTAGAAAAAGTAGAAACTAGTGAAATAGACTTCAAAAGATAGAGATAAAGTGATGAAGAATTAGAAAGTTTAGGATTTGAGAGAACATGAAGAATGAATGCACCTGTGCCATTGCAAACGGTTTTGAGCCATGTCATTCAAGGTCTCTAACCATCGATTATAATCATCTCGCGGACCCCACTCGGGTAGTCGACACCTATCGACATGACTTAGTCCAGCTATCAGTGACTTCATGGATTTGTGACATGTTTTGATCTGGCCGACCCTAACTTTCTTCTAACCTATTCCTACACCACACAAAATATAGCTTGACCGAAATAGTTGGTAGTTAGGCATACGCAACAAATGTTCCAACCACCTCAACTGATGGAGTGTCACTACTTCATCTATTGATCTGCCATCCTTACCTAGCACCTGTTTCTTAACTAAAGCATTGCTTACTCCGTTGTCCCAGGATATATAATTCATGATAATTTTCTCAAAAGTAACATATTCATCCCTACTGAAAAGTCAGTTAAACTTAATTAATTTTACAGTTGATTAAAAAACAATTTACTTTTAATGAATAATAGGTATGTGATTTGAAAAAAAAGATTTACTTGTAACATACATATTTTAAACATAATTTTATAGTTCACATGATAAATAATGATAGTTTGTAAAAGAACAACAGAAAAAAAATCCACTTTTTTTTTACATTAAATTCTTATATTCATTTAAACAAAATTAACATTGTTCAATGTATTCACAATTGATAGGTTAGATTTGAAATGTGCGACAGAAATTATTAATATTCAGTGTTTATAAGAAGCATCGATTAAGTTGAATAGTCAAAACAAAATATTTCAATCATATCTGACAGAGAGATATTTGATACTTGACGAAAAAAAAAATATAACAGATGTTGATTGATTTGAAAAGTTACATTTCAATGTGATGATGCTGCTGCTGTTAATTCAAACAATTTTCAAGTGTCAATTTGATTCTAAGCTTCATTTTACTTTTTTTTCTGATATATGTATAAAATTCAACTTGACTGTTGTTTGTTAGAATACATCACATATTAGGGTATTTTTACCATAATAAAAAATATGTATTTTCGTCATTCATTTAAAAAAACAAACTATGCATTGAATGACAATGTAATTAATAAGTGCACTATTTAAAATTTGCGTTACTTTACCATCATCATCAAAAAGAAAATAGTAGTAGTGACATGAATAATAATTCGATGTGATAAATTTTTTGAAAAATTATTTCATTTGTTTAAAACTAGTAAAAGGTATGAAATAGACATATATGACTTGATTTGAAATGATCTTCTATCATATATACACAAACTTGGTCAAACCCCTTCACATAGAAAGTTGACGATCAACTTAAATCACTTAAATCATCATAATCATTCAAAGTAGAATTGTTCATTTTGAATTTTGACTGATACATATGATACAGTACAAATGTAGTGAATGAGAACACAGGTGGGCCAACCGGATTGTATTTAACGAAAATTACAGAGTTACTCAGTAAAATAGGAAAACCATATCGTAAATCGTTCATTTGCAAAATATCAGTTTATCATATCAAACTGGACTGTTCCTGTTGCAATACATCAATCCATTGTCACTATTCATGCGTTTCATATAAATTCCATTGTGTTCCCACTCTTCTTCCTTTCTTGATCTTCCCCCATGTTCTGCTGCCAGACATTACGTTGACACTCACGTCATATACTACTTATAAGTAGCTCACACCACACAATCATTGTCAAATTTTATCAACCAGTACTACTTAACTCACATCCAACATAAATAACACTAACGATTTAAACATGATGGAGTCTGTTAAAGAGTCCTAATACGGTTTATCAATGATCGATTAGCGATTTGTAATTTAATTCTGATTGAATAAATAAAAAAGCTGTACAATGCGGCCAGTCGTTGCATTTAAATCACGTGACATATCTAATTATTGACTATTTTTCTAAATTTCAGTGAAAATAATTAATTATCAGACATTATTATTGATAATAATAATATAAACAACAGTGCATGTTTTTACTTGTATTTTAATTTAATATCTATTAGAATGAAAAGTCACATTTTATGATTTGTGGTGTATATATTCCGTGATTATTTGTTTTGTTTTGATTTTTTTTTATTCATCTGATTGTAAGACATATTGTTAAATGTGAACATTTAAATCTGACCTCAGTGTACTAAGATTTGCTTGGTGAAAATAATTTTGTCTACTTTTAATGTACAAGACTGTGAGTAAAATGAATACTTCATCATAAAATAGGTGATCTGAACATGTCTAGCTTTTTGGGATTGACTCAAGTATTAAGAGGCTTTCTTTTTTAAATTGTGTAACGATTATGTCAAATGTCAGATTTTGAGTAAAATAGCTCACTGACAAATTTCTTTAAGAATCGAAATTCAGTACTGTCATTGATATGAATCACATGTTAAGACTGAGATAAAGCAATGTTATTACTGAATAATATACAAGAATTTGTATAGCAGGTTTACAGACACTCAATGTACTTGTATGTGAAGATTAAGCTAAAAGTATTCTATTTCATTTTATTTGAGTCTTATGATAGTATCGTTTGATTTCACTCGATTTGACATACAGTGAAAACCACACATGATCACTGAGTAGAACTCTGTAACTTATTTATTAGCTCGTTCGCCAAATATTTAATTATAAAACGTACTGTAGGTGTGAGAGCTAATGATACTACTCACCTGTCTAAATCAAAGTAGGTGAAACCGGTTTCGATCCTCGAACATGGTGGCCGAAAAGTTAAGCGCCTAAATTACATGAGCGTTTCCATCATTCGCAGTTGTACTTTAATAATTTTAGCCGCAAATATCCTTTTATTTATTTGAACCTGGATATGCATTGCCACATGCCGTAAATTTACTGATCGTGGTACATCTCAACTACGTCTTTTTTAGTACATATTTCAATTGATTCTGAAATATTTAAAGATCAAACTTAAACTAAACTCAAACATCGAATCCGTTAATTAAAAATATTTTACAGCACACCTAATCTTTAAAATCATAAATCGATTCGTATTTCACTACCATTAGAAACCAAGAAGCATTCGACGGCAGTGCGCGTCCAAGACCCCAGCAAGTGAGAACCAAACTCAGGACATTCAGTATCGCGCGCGAACGACTAACCTCTAGATAACTGAGCTGTCATTCAACGCTGTTAATGTCTAAATTTGATCAATCTGTTGTCTCGTACAACCTCATTCATTATCTTTAGTAAAAACTGCTTC